TCCCAAATAGAAAATTTTCTAAAGTTCAAAATTTATTCCAAAATAAATAATGTTGTACACAAATGTGGAACATTGTCTCTTAATGTGGAAGCTAATCATGGCGCATGCCAACGATAACTGTCAAATCCATGAGATACCCTTCGGGAAGGGAAAGGAGACGAGGATACATGCGTCATTTGCCAACATCCTTAATCTTCTTAAAATTTTCAAAAACATATTTATTATGGTACGGAGGGAGTATTTAATATTGTCCCAACAACTCATTTAGTTTGTAAATGTAAAATACAGAACTTATTATTTATCTTTCCTGAACACCAACACTTCATTGGTTGTTGAGATTGAGTTCAAGTTTTGTGTTAAGCCTATAGAAAGAATGGGTACTTTTACATTAAAACCAGGAAACTAAAATCAAGCAAAACTAAAACTATGAATCAAGAAGACATGACTAGTGCTACCATCATGAACATGCTCAACAATAGTGTAGACAACTCAAACTACGAATCAAGTTGAAAAAAAGAGTAGTGCTACCATCACGAATCTGCTCAGCAATGACCTCCAAGGACTTCCATTTTATATCAGTGGCAAAACACAAATCCGTTTCGAAAGGCTTTGCTTCTCCACAGGTCAATGATGGCAGAACTCATGACAGTATACATATGGAGAACCAAACAACGCAAATTTTTCTGAGGAATTCCCCACATTCTTCTCGGTTTCCTCCAACATCTCAAATTTCTGTCTCAACAATGTTAATCTTGACATTGTATAAAGTTGGAACACTAGTGGTCTCAACTAAAAACCCTTTTATACACCTACCAATCTCAAAATGTGCTCCTGCTGTGATCAGATGCATACAAATGTTGTTGCATGTTCATCCATGCATACTAGACATGAGAAATATCAACACTCAGCAATTAGTTCAGATCTTTCTAGCCCTAAGCTTGAAACACTCATTGTGTCTTTTTCTTCAGCAATCATTTGAGGCAATGTTATTAGGTCCGATGACTTGTGGTTAGTCATGATTAGTCATCTTTGTCGCAACATGGGACTCCATAAGACCCCTGAATACAATTAACTTGACTACAAAACTAGTCATCCAATTAATGCACAACTAATCATGACTAATCATCTCATCAATCAATCTAGACGACTAGTTAGGCTAGCCCAAGAAATTTTTATTATGGGCAGAATTTGCTGACCTTTAGTAGGTCAAAAAACCACCATGATCATTGATTCGTTGCATATAGGATTACATCTTGAACTGTGTCTGACTGCTTGCTGTCTTTGCCTCTTCTATTTGCTAGTTTATGGTCATGTTTGCATATATTTACTATATACATAGCTGTCTGTCCATTTTTTTACCACATGAATGGCTAAATGTCTGACTAACTGACTAGGCACTGACTAATCACCCCAATTATTCCTTGCTACAGTGTATGGAGGAGCCGGAGCCACCCGGAGCTCTACGAAACAGGACCTAAACCATTGCAGACTAGAGAAAATTATAGACGTCCTGTAAACTCTGTCGATGACATTGATCACAATAACACCATGCACGTGCTAGGGTCGTTGATCTTACATGCTTATTAGAGATCATGAATTGTTTTCACTTTATATTACTATCAACATGGAAACATGGCAAATGACACTTTCACTCTAAACAAGATGGCTAGTAATCAAAGATATCATCTTGATCCATAAAGCTTCCAACATTAGTGACTTTCATATTTCTGTTGTTGAGATTGATCTGAATTTGTGTTGGGGACTTCGATGTTAACTCTAATAAACAATGTTGGCTTCAACTAGAAAACTTTATAATTTTGTAGACCGAATTTTTGAGTTGTCAAAACTTTAAATACAATTGGAACTTCAAAGCATTGGTTTCTCCTTCTTCCAAATCCAGTGAGGTATTGATGTCAGGCAACCATTAAAATTTATAGATCATAGGATACTCTGATCACCATACAGTACTATACTATTAGGATAGCAGTGATTTTATTCAGTATCATGTGGATAACCTAATCGATCAGTTCGATTAAACCGGCTCCCCACCCCTACTCATGTTTGAAAGCTTTGCATATTTCTAATCCGCAGTGGAACTGAGACATCAGAAATATTCTGTAGTTTTACTGAATATATGCATGGATCAAACATTCTAATCATTGAACCATTTGTGTACTTTCAAAAATGATTGTCTTGTTTCTTGTAAGAGCACACGGTCAAGGTTGTTGTTCCACTGCTTGCATCGTTTATTGGCTTGACCATTTCATACATATTCATGAGACGAAGGCGCATAAAACGTTTGCTATCTACATAGAGAGACTATCTAAATTTGCTATTTTATTTTGTTCTACTACTATGTGCATCGGTTTTAAATGGAAGGCTCACATGAAACATTCAATTTTGGTAAAGGGTCTCAGGATAAGGATAAGATGAATGTGAAGGAAGATGAAGCCATAGTTTGGGCGCTAGAAGGAAGGAGTTTATAATTCACAACTTATGACTTTTTACATGTATTAGAGGCTACAGATAACTTCTCAGAAGAAAACAAACTCGGGCAAGGTGGCTTTGGTCATGTATACAAGGTAACTGTGTAGCCATACCATTATGAGTGCACATAATTTGACAGAAACATGGAACCATAATGATAAATATATATAGTCTACAATCTGATGAAATTGTGCTTTTTCTCGCTGATGCAAAAGATTGAACTTCTCTGTAGGGTTGGTTTCCTGATGGATCAGACATAGCAGTAAAGAGACTTGCTTCACATTCAGGCCAAGGTTTCAACCAGTTTAAAAATGAAGTACAACTCATAGCCAAGCTCCAGCACACTAATCTAGCTAGGCTTCTGGGATGCTGTTCTCAATATGAAGAGAAGATATTTTTGGTACAAAATTGGAACAATACAAAGAAGATTAGCATGGCCCCTACGCAAGGATGACACGCACAAATCGAGAAATAGTCCAAAAAAAAACCATAACATAAATTCTGAGTGCTAAGTCTTCTTTTCTGATACATCTATTCTTTATTAATTTGCAAATGATACAAGAAGTGCTTTACTGTATTGGATCAGACGCCTAGCAATAATAAATGGGATAGCACAAGGACTTCTGTATTTGCATAGGCACTCTCGGTTACGTGCCATCCATAGAGATCTTAAAGCAAATGATATTCTCTTGGCCCATGAAATGAATCCTAAAATTTCAGATTTTGGCCAGGCTTGCAAAAATCTTTAGCACAAATGATACTGAAGTAAACACGGAAAGAATCGTTGGGACATAGTAAGATGTCTTACGAATTGTTCACTCGAATTATATTAGAAAGCTATTTTGTTACAGAACATTTCAGCAAAGTTTGTTACATCCATCTTTTCAGTGGTTATATGTCTCCTGAGTATGCACCAGAGGGCCTCTTCTCAATGAAATCCGATGTATTCAGCTTCGGTGTGCTAACACTTGAGATAGTCAGTGGAAAAAGATCATCAGGCCTTCATAGATATGGAGATTTCATCAACCTTCTTGGACATGTGAGTCTTCTATGTCCAGTTAATTATACTACGTGTAAAAGTAATCTCTCTCTCTCTCTATCTCTCTCTAGTCGCTCAACAAAAGTGGTACAACTTTTTAACCACACAGATGTGTTAATGGCATCCACTCACTACACCAGCATATATACTGTTCCATGATTTCTGTATTTTCACTATTTTCACGAGAGTGCAAAAGCACTAGCTGTATTTTTTTTATATGCACATAACTTTATTTGTTAAGTATGCGACATTCTCCATTCTCCATTCAGGCATGGCAGTTGTGGAAAGATGAAAAATGGCTTCAAATTGTGGATACATCATTAACTGTCGAGTGTCATACATTAGGGATATTAACGTCGCCTTGCTGTGTGTGCAAGAGAATGCAGCTGATCGACCCAACATGTCAGATGTGGTTGCTATGCTAAGCAGTAAAAGCATGACCTTGCCAGAACCTAAGCACCCAGCATATTTCTACATAAGGGTGACAGAGGACGAGACCTCAATAGTCACTGATCTGCCATCTCGTGTTAATGATATCACAACGACTCTTTACATGGCAGATAGCTTCCTAATTTTCTTTGTCAAAGTTTCTGTATTTGCTGTGTATGCGGACGAATTTTTCTATCTTCTTAAGTCCAAAATTGTGAGTTACTAAACGACAAAAAACAATGTCAGTCGCTTGGTTATGATAGGCAGCTGAAATGCAAATAATTAACCATGTCCAGAAGTCGTCATCCACATAAATAAGCAGCAATAGGATCCACTTGTCTTGTTATGAAAAGATAGTGATTCATAGCTTGCCTCGCTATGTAAGGCCATGGTTGTCATGTGGAATATGTAATTATCTCCCATCAGATGAACTTGTAGGTATTAAGATATTATTACCTATTTCCTTCCAAAATTAGGGAATTGTTTACAATGTTCAATGAATGGAAGACCATGTCGAAGAGTTGTCTCCACGTCTTCAAGACCATATTGCTTCAACCGGTAGTGATATCTGCCCTCACTAACAGTTTAAACCCAATTATTAACCGAATCTTAGCCTCACGACCTAGCAGCGAAGTGTAATCACTGTTTGGCTCCAGCATAACTACCATTGATGGTCCAATGGTGATTGACTGTTCTGTAGTAGTGTGGCAAGCTCATGAGTAAATGATTTGGAGCCTGCCTAGTTTAGTTTAGAGCACGGATCGACTGTAGTAGCAAAATATATATATATATGCTTCCCTCTTCTTTCCTAAAGTTGAGGATCTCAATAAGCTTTCACCACGTACTGTGGCTATCAGGCTATGGATGCTCAATAGAGAAATTATGGCATTGAATATATATAAGCAATTTGTTCCATGCAACATGAATTTATCCTTGAATTACATATTTCAATGAATTATACCACCTAAAATTATATTATACTAAACCCATACAAGACCATGCAAGGGTTGATATATGGAACAACGACACTACTGAACAGTTATGGCTACCTTGAGCGGCATTTGTCCCGATCGGTTGGCATGACAGTGCCGTTACTGGGGAAGAAGAAGCGGAGGCGGCAGGAGATGCGCATCCAAAACCGGAGGTTGGCAAAGACTCCCACCTTCCACCGCGTGCGCGCCTTGCCGAACAGGTCGAACGGCACCACGCCCGCCTTGAGCGCCTCGTCCATTGCCTGCATCCCGGCAGCATCCAGCGCCCGCCCCGCCGACACGACACGGTACAGCAGCGGCAGCGAGCTCTCTCGCGGCACCACGAACGGCTGCGCCCGCAGGAGCGCCACGTCGGCGCCGTGGAACCCCAGGACGAGGTCCATGCTGGAGAAGGAGGCGTCGGTCTTGGAGTTGTTGTTCACGGCCAGAACGGTGATGGACGCCTGAAGGTAGTCTATGGCGCCGTCCTGGCCGTACTCCAGCCGTTCCAGGTGCGCGTCGGAGACCGCCAGGTACGGCATGCTGGGCCTGTAGAGGAGGTACACGGCGAACACCGCGACGCCGGCCAGGATGACGCCGACGGCCAGCGCCGTGCACGCGAGGACCGTCGCCCACGCCCAGCCGGAGCTGCTGCGCTCACGCGACCCCGCCCATATCCTCGAGGTCCCCCGTTGCTCCGGTGACCGTTGCGGCACCCATGTCCTCTTGACCATCTCTGCCTCCGCCTGGACGTCGTCGTCCACCGATGGCGGCAGCTTGTCGGGGTCCTCCTCAAACTTGCTTGCCTGATCCATGTACGTTTCCATGCGCTCCGTGGCGAATATCCGTACGCTGACGTCGTGCCTCCCCGCGTAGCGCTGGGTAAGGTGCGACCTCACGGACGCCAGCAGGCAGGCGAGGAGCTCCTTCCACGTTGTCAGCGTGAGGAGCTTCTCCAGCTCGGCCTTGAGGATGGCGAACAAAGGGTGCGACGACGGCTCAGCGTCCAGTGCCACCTGAGCCTCCAGCAACTTGCGGCGAGCGCCGTGCAGGTCCTCGTTCATCCCACTTGCCTCCTCCAATATCTTTGAATGGCGGCGACGGACCAGCTCGGCCTTCACCTCCAGTGTCTTGGCGTACGGGCTGGCAGATCCGGTGCGGCGTATAAAGCATCTCAGGCGATCGCGAGGGGAGTAGTAGACTCTTCCTTGCGTACTGGAGGCACGGGGTTTACGTTATTCATCATATCATAAACAAAATTTATCGAGGTCACAGATAATCCGGACAAACAGGGTACATGTATCGGAAATATCGAACAAATTAAATTCAAATACAAGTTCAATTCAATTTAAATTACTAGGAGTCAGGACTACTATTACTATTACTAGAGTACTATCCCATCAACCAGTGCTCTCGCACGGGCTAGAATTTTAAAAGATATAAGTGTTACTTAACTTAATACTTAATACATAAGACTAATCAAGAATTATTTATATTAAATCGTATGCTTTTTCTCTTTGTTCATTTGTTCATTTTCTAACATAATAGATACTCGTAGTCTATATCCAGTTATCATAAGTTTCTTAATATTTTGTTTTCAAGGGCTCATCTATACTTTTTTTCATTTATATTCACATTTTTTCTTTGCAAGGTACCTTTGTGTATTTTAAATATGCAATTAGCTGATACCTTACCATCAACTATTGTGGCTCTTGTTGCATTATATATCTTATGAAATCATGAATCTGAATTTTAATTTTTCAAATTTTATTTTTATGGACTGCTACAGATTATTTTTATCCTCAAGTTAAGTTAAAACTCTTGTGCTTATTGTATCTTTTATTAACTCTATGTTTGCACTTTTTAAGAAAAAAATTTAGGTCATATAGTACATTCTTAAATACTACAGTATCATAAGAAATCTTTTCGAACTTGCACCGTGTCACTTAACATAAGTGATAGATCTTGAAGCGAGACCTCAGATGGGAGTAGCAGTGCTAATCTCATTAGAATTTTAATACTGAGGCGTTGTAATAATCATTTTTTTACTCTAAAGTAATCTTAGAGGGCTGGAAAATTATAGAGCCACCAGTGGTCTCCCATGATTCGTAAGACGATTGAATTTTCATATCAAGAAATTATATGTGTAATTATAGTTATATTATCAATTTGACGTGTCAAACATTTTAGTTAAAATATATAAATATATCAAAAGTAACAACCTATATAAATTGTATGTCATAGTTATTAATATGGTTTTAAATAATTTGTATCATTAGTTATGAGTTTTGAAGGAAATATTTTTTATATGATGAAACATAACATATATATTTATCACTTGTGCCTGGTGACATGACGTGTATGCTTACTTTAATCAAATCTTAATATATTAATATTGGTTATTGGTAGAAGTGGGTATATATACTCTATTATTGTTATCTAAACAATAATTGACAATTTAGATGTAGATTTAAGGGGATATTTATTTTTTCTAACAATGAGATGAAGACTAGATTACGTAAACTATCTATGAATCGTAATAGGAGAATATGGGTAACTAGATGCAAATTTAGGTCTACTTTAGATCATATTTCTTAATGACATAGGTAAGTAATTTAAACATAGAGTCATTGGTTACTTTATGTTGTTTTACGCAATAGAAGAGGAGGGTAATTATTTAAAAAATAGAATAGATCCAATAGCTATCATTATCAATGGTGAATAGGTTATACTTCATGGAGTATTAATACAAATTAATGTCAATTGCGAGTGTTATTGCTATGTGGTTTGTTAAAGGAACATTTTTCATGCTTAATAAGCTATTAAAATAAATATTTATCTTAATATATACAAGTTTACTTGGTATGCATGCTGAAACATAGCATTATGGTTATTTAATTTCATATTTGCAGAAGTCTATAATTTCATATATATATATATATATATATATATATATATATATATATTACTATTTACATGTAGATTTGAGAGATATCTTTGTTTATGTTTATAACGGCCAAGTAGATACAAATATCGAGGTACTACTTTATACTATCTTTTATAATGACATACATGGATAGGTTGAATCCAAATTTAAGAGGTTACTTTGCATTATCCTTTATAATGATAAAGATGGATAATTTGTAAAACAATTAGGAGGTCTTTCAAATTATCATTCATAATGGTAGATTGGGTAATTTAGATGTAAAGTTAGAGGGTTATTTTAAATTATCTTTCATAATGGCAAAATTAAGTAATTTAGATACAATGATGTGGGATTAATTTGAATTATCTTTCATAATGATATATATGTATAATTTGTATAGAAATTTAGGGGTTATTTTGAATTATCTTGTGTAATAGCATAGGCAGTTAATTTAGATGCAAAATTAGAGATTTTTTTTTTTAATTTTTATAATGATAATGGTGGGTAATTTTTTCTATAAATTACAATAGATTCAATGGCCACTACGAGCGAGACTGGATGTTTCTGATTATGTTATGAAAATTTCTAAAAAAAAAATTTCTAGCGTATCTGGTGAATATTAACGTGTTGCGTCCGTTGGGGCCTCTACGTAGTGATAGAAAGATAGTAAGATAGTATGTGCTACCTGTAGGAGCATTGAGCTGTACTCTCGTTGGACTGCAGGGAGAAGGAGGTCAACCATAACCTTGCGCACTTCCCCGCTGTAGAGATAGCCGAATGTTACTGTGACCGAGCGGGCACGGTTGTCGGTGTCCTTGGGGTAGCACCCGGCGTCCACCCTGTTGTCGTCTATCCTGGAGTGGCCTGTGGTTTCCCACACGGTGAGCTGGAGGTCCTGGACCACGACGCTGAGGAGGCCGGCCATGATCTGCGAGAAATGAACGGCAAGGCTCTCCCCGTCCCCGACGTCATAGAACGTTCCTCCATGGCTGTTTCTCGCAATCGCCTCCAGCACCTGAGCGGCCGCAACACGCGTTAGAATAGGCACTACGCAGTCGCAGTCGTGCACGTCAATAAACTTAAATAGTGTGGATGCATGGAGACGGATATATATGCATGCGTGCATGTACCTTGGAGTCCTGGTCTGCACCAAAACCGAACGTGTAGACAGCCCCCACATCGTCGTCAATTGGGACAACAGTAGCATCGCCAGGGCCCTGCTGGCCATCGGACATGAGAACGATGGCGGCCACGCGGCGGCCCCCTTTGTGCTGGCGGCCGCCGAGCACCTTGAGGCCGGTCTCGAGGCCGGCCTCCATGTTGGTGGATCCGCTGGCATTCAGACGATTTTCGACCATGTCCGTCAGCTCTGCCTTGGTGGCCTCCGTCATGGAGCGCAGGTGGAACAGCCTCTTGGCCTCGGTGGAGAAGGAGACGATGGAGAGGCGGTCTATGGGGCTGAGCTTGCTGATGACAAACTTCATGGCCGTCTTCAGCTTCTCCAGCTTCCAGCCCCGCATGCTTCCACTGACGTCCAGGACAGCCACGAGGTCCAGCCCGGATCGTTCGGCAGTGGAAGATGTGTCGGTGAGCTCCAGCAGCACCTGCTGCCTGTTCTCCTCCAGTGGCGCTTTGTCGTTGCAATGAGCCACCAGCCGCACTCTTTCGGCGTTGCCCAGCCTTGGCGGCCCTGCAGCTGCCCCTGCATGCATTAGACAGACGATTGTCGATCGATACCGGCCAACGATACGTACGGGTTCATCCGAACCTTGTCTTGCATATATATGCATTTCTTAGCTACTAGGGATCAATATGAATGACGAACTGGTTTTCCACATTTTTTTTTACTCATATAAGAATTAATTGGGCGAAATTGTAGGACCTGCTGACGAATTTCCAGGAGGTTGCTCAACATCGTTGTCGGACATTCCGGTTGGACCCAAAGAAGAAGCGCCCCGCCGGCACTTGCTAGCTCGCTGATATAACGATATGTAGATATACTACGAGTTACATAGATATATATAGAAGGAGCCTCATCAGCCTAGGGGGAATGAAATCGCGCAAAGGGCATGGAATGTAGGAGGGTGTGGAACAACGGTTTGGTATCTTCTTTGCTCTCCCTCGCAGCATCCTATGAAAACAGGACCAAGCAAAGCAAGGGATAAATTAAAAGCGGCCTAGCTCCCGTTTCATTATCTTCTGTCTTCTCCACGCAACAGCCCCTGGCTGCTCGCCTCATGCATCTCCTTTGGCGCCGTCGTTGCTCGAGCTCTCGCCGTGCGAGATTGGCACTGTGTAGACACAGTCCAGGGCGGAGCTCGCTGGCCTCCACGGCGTCCCCGCTCGCCATCCACGATGCCACCAACCTACTAACGGTGGAGACGATGAGGATCTTGTGCGACGCCGGCGATGGGTCCTCGCATAGCAGGATTAAGGTGAGCCGTTTCAGTATGGTTGTGGTCTTCGGCGTCCGAGCTCCAGGTCCCCTTCTCGTCACCCTCTCCACCCCCAGCCAGTGCTTCTAGTAGGCTCCTCTCATGCACGCTGGATCTGGTAGGGGACACCGAGGGTGAGGCCAGAACGGTTGGGCCATGGCACAGATCCATGAGCCAGTGGAACTTTGACATAAACTTTAGGACATGCTGATGAATATGAAAGAGGAGCCTCATCATCATGGATGGACATTCCGATTGACCAAAACACGGCCGGCCTGGAACTTCATAGCTTACTGATATATAGTAATATGTACTAGTAGGTTAATAAGATACACGTGCTACTAATCAAAATGAGCGTAGCTTAATCCATAATTTAACGGTGCCATTTTTAGGGGTAGGCGATGTGTCCATATATAATCAACGAGGTGCCTGTTGTGATTTCGTAAATCTCGAGATCTATGAGTCCAACCCAATCTTTTCAAGGAGCTCATAGAATAGGGTGTGCGCGTGCGCTCATAGCGATAAGTATGCGTATATAGAATAATGGTCCTAGTAAATTCCTAATGTATGATTCATGGTTAAGGTTTTAGGAAGCCACGGTAGGGGATGAGTTTTGGTATCTTCTTTGCTCTACCAGGTAGCATCCTTTTGGAAACACTGCCAAGCAAGGTATGAAGCAGGCATACATCAGACTCCATGTAAGAGATGTGCAAAAGAATTATCATCAGTTATTATGTGGTGCAGAGGATTATAATCAAGAGATATTTTGCAGAGGTAGCGTCTGAGGGAGTGGCTGGTCTGGAGAGGCCAATATATGGGCCTTGGGCCTACATTTACACAGCCTGTTGTTTTACATGGCCCCTCTAAAAATAGATTTTCAGGGGATGTCCATGACTCTATCTGTAAATAAAAATAGAAGTCTCCTAAAATCATTTTTTTATGTGTTGACTGATTAAACACAAATGAGGTGATCCAAAAATACACACAAATGAGGTGACTCTTTTCTACTTGACCCAGTCTCCACTTTATATAACCAATCTTGCTGTTGGAATTGAAACCATAAGCAGCTTTGTCAACGTGCATTATGAAATTGATGCAACTTTCATATGCATGTATAGGCTTGTAAATTTCAATTACAACAGCATTGATGAAGTGCATTTCATCTAGATTTCTTCTTTCAAAGATACTACTTTAAAAATAAGGGACTAGCATACAGCAAAATTCTATGAAGATGTGTTTTACAGACCATTATGCAAAGTTTCATGTGCCATTCTTATTGAAGTGAAATGTGGTTTCCGCAGTTTATTCAGCTTCCTCCAACATCGATAGTTTGGAACATCAATGAAGCTTGCTGGAAGAAGGAAGGGTGTATCAATGAACAGAAAATTGCCTTCTATATGTCAAAACTTCTCAATATTCACTCCCTTCAATTTTCATGTAAGCATAGGTTGAGCAAACAAAGCTTCGAGTCTTTATGTAATGATGAATAGAATGTCTCGAGCCTTTTCCTTAGTTCTGCAATAATATATATAACAGTTCTTGTAGTGTGCGTTGTGTGCTAAATCATGAATTATACATGTGACCTTGAAAACATAAATGATGAGTACCTCTTGCACTATGTGTTCAACAATCCATAGGTAAGCTGACATGTCCTTTAGTTGATATAGCAGCTGTGGTTGTTTTTTTTTCTATCAATCATCTAGGACAAAATATGTTGCTTAAAAAATTGTATCAAACTACAAAGTTTTATGGCAATCGTTCTTAGGACATTGAAAAAACATGAATCTTTCTCAATACTACTAAAGAGATTATTTATAGAGGCACCATAATTTTCTTAAAAAATGATTGTCATTCCAGTCAGCCCTAAAAATAGTTTGTGCAATGGACCGTCCCTGAAAATCAATTTCTACATATAGGATGCTATCCGTTTGTATTCAATTTGCAAATCTTTATTTAGGCCTCCAAATTATCTTAAATAAAAGGGTTTAAACTACAAAGTTTTAGATCTTGTCTAGTATAATTTTCGTAGTGCATGCCGCCATCCGAGGTCCTTTGAACAGGTAAATTTGAATTTAAAATGTACATTTGGGCCATTAAACAATCCCAAATTGAAAACTATCAACTACTATGTTTAAACTGGTCTAGATATACAATGTTGATATAAAATTTGTCTCCATCCAAATTCAAATGAAAAAAGTATGATTTTTTCTGTACGAACCACCCCTAAAATTTGAATTTTAAGGGTTGTCCATCTATAGAACTATTTTAGGAACGGTAGGTATTACAACTGTTTACAAAAAATTAATAGCTCTATTCTGAAATGCGAGTTCTTTTGGTTTTGTCATTTGTTAAATTTCCCTAACTTTGACAAGATTTATAAAAATAATAGGTCCATATACAATATCAATTAGTTTCATCAAACCCACCACGAAATATATCGTAATAGTGCATTTGTTTGGTATTTTATATGTTAATATATTTCCATTAAACTACATCAAAGTTAGAGAAATTTTAATCCCACAATTTTGCTTGCTTGATCTGATAATATGGTTTGCCTATAGTAGAGAAGTAAAAGATAATGTGAGTTCTGTAGAGCAAAGATTTAAAAGATCATCATCTCAAAAATGGCCAGCTGCTAGGAAGTTTTCAGATGATGTGGGATTTTATTTTATCATTTCACAGCACAGATAATACTTGTGAAAGATATGCACAAAACAAATGGTTATGTGCCCAGCAGGCCTGCAGCACTATGTGATTTGCATATTTTCATCTGTTGTGCTGCCAAATTGAAGTGATTTTTGAGCCTAGCCATTTTCCTAGCATTTCTAATCATTGTGATGATCAGGTACTGCAATCTTGGTGACCTGCCGTGTGTGGCACAACCTATTGAAACTTGTCAAATAATGTCTTCAGTTTCCACCACCATCTTGACTATGTATCTTTGTTGGCTGGTCTAACTAAATCTATAAAGACGTTTGTTGTTTCATCATGTAGTCTTCGCAGATTTGCAATAGCACCATGCGATTTGCCTATTTCCTTTAGTGCTGCCAAACCAAAGTGATATGTCAGCTTAGACCATTTCCCAATGGACACCTAATCATTGTGGTGATCAGTTACTATAATCATGGTGTTCTATCGTAGATGGCACAAGCTATTGAAAATCATAAAATTATATGCACTCTTCAGTTTTCACCACCATCTTAAACTATGAGTCTTTGTTGAGTCGTCTAATTCTATGGAAACATTTGTTGTTTCTTCGTATGCAATCTTTGCAGAGGATCTGGGGATAGATGCACAGCTACCAATGCTCATTTATATATTGACAAATGGCCAATGCTATTTAACTATATCTTGGGAGGAGGTATTTGTTACTAGAAAAGAAATGCGATACAGACTTAAGTTCTTACTTTCCACCACCATCTTATGACGAAAACATTTGCTGTGTTTCTTCATTCTAGGAGATTTCAGACAGAATACAGAGCTACCGATGCACAATGATTGATAGATGGCCATCAATATTTGTGCAAAGGAGTCTCTTAATAGAAAAGTTACGCGAAACTGACTTGGAGTTCACACTTTTGGGACACGAACATGTGGCTGGTCATCCTTTTTCGTCAAGTTGCAAAACCAATGAACTGAAAAATCATGCATCGGTTGCCTCTCTCACTCGAAATTTCATGCGAGAGTTCTTGGAAACCAACAATCCATAAGATCCATGCTACCTATATTGAGGTGCAGTCTGCTACTGCAGTCCAGTTTTAATTTATGAAGATAGGGACAAGTGGGCCAGTCTGCATTGTTGGCACAACCTGTTTACTGACCGGTGAGCTGCAGCACGTACTCTAACAAAAACAAACTGTGGGCCCCTATCATGGCCAGGCACGCACATATGGGCCCCTATCATGCACCAGAAACTGTGTCATGCCAATTTTTATTTGCCAACAAAACTTGGTACTAGAGGTTCTGTTTTGACCACTTAATTTAATAACTCTCGTATAGATCCACGGTACATATGTTCCAGCACCGTTTTTACATATTTGGCAGCTTATGTCATATGTAATTAGCTACTTATGTATTGTCCACATAGCAGTTTATTATGTTGATACTACAACTGCATTTAAGCTAATAAGTCCATGATACATAGTATCTCTATAATTGTTGCAATTTATGTTGATAGTTGCAATATTAACATTCTTCAGTTTGGATGCGGTATAATATAGCCCTTGTATATAGGGGTCATCATGGGTTATGATTAGGGGTTACACAAGTTTTGTGTT